GACCTCAAACTACTTTGACGTTGATGACTTTTTAAGCTTACGATCGTAGTTACCATTTTCAGCCTTGAGATATCCAAGACATCTGGCAGCTGAGCTGTACGTTGTGAAGTCCAAGTGATGGCCTAACAGAATATGCGACTAGATTGTTTGTGGTAGTGTGTTTCTTTCAGTCTGCCGCAGTTGCAAGACATCGGTAGGACCACCGAATTAGCTGTCTGTTTGGGATAAAAATTAAGTGAGATATGCACATTCCGGCCTTCATTCTAAAAGGGTAGGAATAAGCTAAAGCTTATCTTTATGTGAACGAGTTGATCAATTCATTATCTTAAGTTCAAGTCTTATGATGGAAGGTTACAAGCTCCGGGTCTATACATTTAAAAATATGGAAAATTAATTGTGATATCGCAATCACCAACAGAATTGCAAACTTCTGTTTATATCCAATGAAACACGATTTCCTTCAATACCAACATTAGAAGGGATTTTCGTTAGTTAGAAATAAATCAAAGCAAGTCGAATTATGTTCGCAACTACTACCTTGTACAGGCGCTTAGGACTTTGGACTCTCTATCGCAATAAGCGGTTCAATTAATGTGCATGAAATACTTCTAGAAAAAAACTCGATATATTTCAAAGCTTAAGGCTATCCACTCCATTCTCCCAGTTCACCAATTATTCAGTATCTAGTTCTTTCTAGCACTTTCCCATTTATATAATTGAGTGTGAAAAATGCCCAAATATATATTATACAAAGAGCCTCACCTGTAACTCAACAGAACTCTCAGATGTGAACCTGAGCGATTCAAATGGTTCAAATGGTTGTAGACGGAATAGAAGAAGCTTTCGCTTAACGGGCTTCCGTGTCTAGTAGCAGTGGATCACCAATACCTCCAGGCAGGAACCTTGGTATAATAACGATAATAAAAGAAAAAAGAAACTGGTGAATCATAATAAGATGTTATTCTTAATCCTTAAGAATAGGTCAAGTTTCCGCTTAAAGGACTCCTGGGAAGTCGCTTAGACTAGTTCAGTCGGCAGCGAATTCCAGCATTTGTCAACTCTCAAAGAGTAGAGGTTGTGTCTACATTCCGTCCTGCTATGTTGTGTCGCCAATTTCTGGGTGTTACCCCTTAGGTTTGTATTGGGACTAAGCTTAATTAGGTGTTTGAGGGGATGTCCAGAAGTGTTAAGGATACTGTAAGCCATTAAAAGGTCATCTCTAAGACGCCTACACTCTAATGGATAAAGGTTAAATGATCGGAGGCGCTCTTCATAAGGTTTGAATTTGAGTCCCCGAACTGATTTCGCGGCCCGCCATTGGATATACTTCACAGCGGTCTTATCATTTTGGAGTGAGGGAGAAAATAATATGTTTCTGTACCCTAAATGTGGACGAATGAAACAGTTGAACATTATATGGAAACTTCTTTGAAGTCGAGTCAGATCCTCCTGATGTGCCGGTTTATTGTATTGATTCCAAACTTCTCTCCAAAATTCACAATGACAGAGAAAAGTAATAAATCGGACGACACTTGGTGATGAAAGTTATACAAAAATTAAGGAAAATAGAGGTCCTAAAACTGGAACCTGAGAACATTCTGTAGCCTGAGAAAAGTGAAGTTTACTTTGAACGTAAAAAGTATATTAGTTAGATGAGAACTAAGCCAGTAAATTAGAGATGACTTGATCACTATTTATTTGTGCTTACTGATGAGACACATGACTGACCCTATCAAAAGCTTCTGTGAAGTCGAGGCATCGGACACCAACCATCCCCTTGAGATCAGGGATGGTTGTCCATCTGTCCACTGCAATCACTAGGTTGGCTATGCAGGAGTTACCCTTCATGGAACCATGCTGTTGGGATAAAAAGAAGTTCATAGATGGTAAGTAGTTATGTGGTTCGCTGTATATCAAAGACTCTATAACTTTTTAAGGTGTTGAAAGATGTGCCATCGGTCGGTAGTTTAGATATTCTGTACATCGGCCTCCCATAAAAATCAGTGAATGTGCACCAGCTTATTATCTTAAGATGCTATACCTCGGCTAAAAGTTTGTGAGAGCATTATATTGGGCGATCTTCCCAATATTGAAGTCGTTTCTCACAATATAGCAAAATGAGTCATTTTCGAGCTAGAAGAAATGGTCTCGTCTACACTACTAATGGCCCGACAAATAACGAAGGCGATGCCGCTTACTTTTTGGCTGAACAATACTCTCGGACATTTCAACCGACCCACATCAAACATACTGACGAAAGCTTCATCTGCAACTGCACAGGACTTTCCAAAGTGAACCTGAGCGCTGACTTGGTGTTCCGGAAACTGCAGCACCTAAGAAAAGACGCTCCTCCTGGCAGGATACGGTTCATTCTGCTATACTGGGGAAATCACCTTCGATCCTCGTAACACCGCTTAGCATGATGTTCCCACACTCGCCAAGCCGAGGCAAACCATCAGAGATGCGGAAGCTAGCTCACATCACACCAATTTTCAAAGTAGGTCGATGCAGCGAACCTTCAAGTTACTGACCGTTGGCTCTTTCATCTATACCTTCAAAAATTATGGAGTCCCCGATATTCCATGGTATACATGAATATTTACTATCCTTAAACTTCTTTTCACCCCAACAGCATGGTTTCAGGAAGGGTCACTCTTGTATAAACAACCTGCTTACTGCGGTGGACAGATGAACAAGCATCCTTGATCGCAAGGGTAAGGTTGACATCATTTACCTTGATTCCTCAAAAGTTGCTAATAGGGTCAACCATACATGTCTTATGAATAAGCTCAAACGATTGAGTGCCAACCCATCTCTAAGTGACTAGCTCACTTCATATCTGAAAATCGACATTTTAAGGTCAGGGTTAAATTCACTTCCTCTCAGGCTATGGAATGTTCTAGTGGGGTTCCCTAGGGCTCAGTACTAGGACCTCTTCTCTTCTTCTTGCCTTATTTTTCTTACTTTGCAGTTGTATCAGTTACTTTTCCCACCCTATTTCTTCACTTAAAGTATACAGGTAACTCACTGGACCTATTGATGCTGCTCAACTGAACTCGGTTGCTAAGGGACGCGTACTACTACCCTAAAACGTCAAGGGAACCGCACAATCGACTGCCCACTACCAGTGGTCTTGCATCTATGGAGCCTATTATCCATCAAGCGGTTACGATAGCGCAACATATCATCAGCACCAAGTTAATGTGAGTTTCGTCCTGTTTATTCTTTATTAATATTTTACTCTTCGGTACACTGTCTTGACTAGCAATTAATATTATTTCTCCACTCGTTACCTTAGCTATAACTCATATACATCTATACTTTTCCACCTGCTTTAGTAAACAACTATTCTAGATTATACCTTCTTAATGCTTATACTCTGATTGGCAAACTAAACTTTATACTATAGTCAATCAAAGCACTGCATCGATGCCTTACCCACAGTTCGAAACTTGTAACTGCCTGATAAGCTTGTAAAATGTTACTTACAGAAAGTGTTTTCCAACAGGTAGTGAAACACAGAGGATTGTATGAGGTATGACATATATCCAAAAATAAGCTTAATTAAGCCTAACATCACAAAAGGAGGGAGGGTGGAGTTACTGACCAGCAAGCATTGATGGTGAGGGCGATGACTTCAATCCACCCGTGTTTGTGGGGCAGAACATTTTGTATGTGTCAGGCTCTTTATGATTGAGAATAAGTCAATTAATCTGTGATATAGATTGTCTTTATACGCTCACCACGCACATATGTTTTCAGTTTTTGCTGGATTAGCTATTCTACTGAGACAAACTATAACATGCTAACTCGGACTTTTACACTAGGATTATGTGGCTGGCATCGGATGGACAAAAAAAGAAAAGAAAGAAAAAATTAGACAACAAAAGATATAGCCACTCGTATTCTTAACACTTCACCCTGTATATGCACACTCCCTTCTCATAAACCGCTTTCCTTGTACCAACCTTGACTTCCCTGACGATGTCAAGATATGGAGAACGATACGATGTAAGAGTGTTAGCTTAGAACTCCAAAATGACCTGAAGAAATTATCTGAATGGTCTCAAATTTGCTAGTTGCCGATAAATACTTCCAAGTGTGTTGTGATGCATATCGTTCATCAAGGTACAGATACATACACGATGAATAACGTTGAGCTGTCTGTCGTCCAGATACATAATGACTTAGGAGTCATCGTTAGCCAAGACTTAAAGACCAATTCACACTGCCGTGCAATAGCCGTCAAAGGTTTTAGAATCTTATAGTCAATACATAGATCTTTTAGTCATGTCGACGCTAAATCATTTTTGACTTTATATATAGTGTTCGTACGTCCTGAACTTGAGTACTGCATACAAGCGGTCAGCCCCTGCGTAAAAAAGACAGTGAGCTTCTGGAAGAAGTCCAGAGAACAGCAACTAAGCTGATTTCCGGTATAGCGAAGCTTCCGTATGATGCTCAACTGGCCAAGCTAAACCTTTTCCCGTTGTGATATCGTAGAACTAGAGGCGACTTGATTACAGTTTTCAAATCACCTAGTGATAAAGTTTCACATGATATGCTCTCATTTTTCTTGTTTTCCAAAACGGAAAATTTATGAGGACACTCCACAAAAGTTCACAAACCCAAAACAAATTACTTATCAGCTAACTATCAACTTTCCCATTGAATCATCAACGAGTGGAATTCCTTTCCTCAGCACGTGATTGGGACTCCATACATCGACTTTTTCAGAAGAAAGCTGGATCAACTGAGAGACCACTGTTGCCAGGACTAACTCAGACCATCAAGCCTCCTATCCTTTCCAAACTGAAACTGAAACTAAAGCGAAAGCTACTATTCCGTTTAGAACCTCTGAACCCACAAATAACCATCAAATTGATTAAGATTATTGCCAGATTATGTGCCAGATATTACCAATGACGTTTAACTAAAATGAAACAATTAGAGAGACCATAGCGAGAACAAGCTGGATTGCAGCTATTGGGTATTGAAACGAGAATTTTTAAATACTCAAGGTCGCCCTTCCTATGATCCCCCATTATAACCAACAACTTATGGCTCAACATCCTAACTCTGGGAGGGCTATTATCTCTGGTAAGCCTCAGAATCACGTAGTGGTAGTTGTCTTACAATATTTAGTGTACAGCTCAAAATGTAAACATTTAGTATTTAGCATTAGTATCGTATTTTTGGTTACGGATACAGTACTAATCGTCATAATTTTTTTTACATAAGTCAGAAAATTTGTCTGAGTAATCATGTGAGTGTTGGAGGTGTGCGATCAACAAGCACAACTTACAAAGAAGGAAATCAACATCGATTTAAGCTATTTGTAAGGTCGACTTCTAACACACTTTCGTTACATTACTTTATGACCTTTCGATGCATTTGTACTGTGATTTGTATTTAGTGATAATGTCTCAGTACAGAAAGTGCAATCATCGTAACTGAATAAGTTGAACACCACCATCAACAAAGCTTCCATTAAGACAATGGACCTCACTCTAGTTAGTGAGGCAGAGACGAGAGGGATAGAGGCAGTCTTGTTCACCTTATCGAAGTCTGAGTTGTAAGTGCACGAACGTATGGGTAGGTGCTAGTGGTGGAGTGACACGAAGTTGGTTTACATATAGTGAAAGCCTGAACAATTTATGCTAATCTGGACCATTTTTGTGGCCGTCGTGCTACTGGTCTAGCTGACGTGGCTTGAAATAGAAGCCAATAAGGGTCCTTCTGTAGTTTCCCGTTATATTCTTTATAAAAATGATAGAAACTGGTTTCACTGAAAGATGTCGTTCTTAGTTTTATTCCTAGTTAAACCGAATCGCGTACTATAAACTATTTTCGTCCACCTACTTTTATTCCTTATTTATGCAGAATATACTCCCTCTCCCTCCATCTTTCCACATCCTCATTTTATTATTGTGTAGCGCATGTCAGTTTTTTGCTCGTTCGTATCAGTATTTACGAAGTAAATTGGTAAAATAGATACCGCCTATGTCTACATGTAAACCTTGCCGACATGGATTTTTTAAGTTTTGCTGGTTATAGTATGAACTGTGGATGCTATTGGTTTGCTGGTTGAAAGTTATGGTTTAACCATAATCTATAAACGTAGATATTTTCTAACATGACTCAAAAGCGATTGAAGTGGCCCGGTTGAACTTATTGTCTTTCTAAGTTTTGAGTCCACTGTCAGTCCTTAATTTACGCTTCTCGACCTCATTCTCTTTGAACCACATTTTTTATGTTTGGCTTCCCATCACAGCTGGTATTTTCCTCTCTTTTCTGATCCCTATTTTGCTAACCTTCGTCTCGTTGTGGGGAAATAAGTCGTAGCAACGTTTATCAATTTATATTCGTGTAATTTCTTGTTTCATTATCCTTTACTGACATCTGATTGTAGAAGGTTCGCACATTTAGTCGCCGAAACCGATTAAAGATAATTAAACTGGGCTGTTTTCTAACTGCTTTTACGTTGGTATGCTAATTTTGTATTTCGTCCATATTTCTAATTTTCCAGGTCCCCGTCCGTCTGGGCCTGGTATTCTGCCATCTATAGTTAGTCAGGATGGTAATCAGGTTAATCAGCTTGCGAGCAGACGAATGTTGCCAGCTGATCCGCGTCTGCATCAGATTATCGGACGTGCGGCTACCGCGTAAGTATTTCGTTATAAATTATCTCTTTTATCTAATATGTGCTTGTAAGCATTAACCATTTTTATAACTTTCCTCAAAGTTCGATTGATGAGTTTGTCTAAAATTCTGTACTATTTTTTATCAATTGTGGTAGTAAGTAATGTGGTGATGCTTAGGCAACAAATAAAACTAATTGACGAATTATGTGTGAAATCGATATAAATTAAACCATGGTGCGCCAAACTAACAATTAAGCGACAGATAGTTCTCATTTAAACATTAAAATTAAAACACGAATTTCAGCGAAGCGATCTCTTTTCAACGAACTTATTATCAAGCTGTACAATCGTATATATATGAAAATTTTGTTTTTGTAAAAGTACTAATTCCGTGAGGAAATATGAACACAGTTAATAAAAAGGTTATAATACTAGATTACGTAATACGAATAATAACAATAGATTTAGTGAATATAACAAGATGATTACGTCTGATGTTCGATCACCTTTAAATTCCAGACTTATATAAAGGTTTTTCTTCGTAACGGAAAAACTAGGTTTATTGTCACAACTACTTTTATTCATATTCTTTCCTATGAACCGTTCTGGGTAACCATTTTCCGTCAGGGTTTTCTTGAGGAATTCGAGTTCTTCGTTAATGCATTCCTTACTGCATATCTGATGTATTCGATAACATCAAGAGTGGATGAGGTTTCTCTTTCTACTTAACGCGACCCAGCTATAGAAGTTGGGTTAGCTGTCCATTCCATGTTTGTTTTCTAAAGATAGATCTTTTTAAAGAACCATTACTCCTCATCAGACGTACATCGAGAAAAGGAATTGATTGGTCTCGTTCCCTTTCTAACGTGAAGTCGATGGAGGGGTGGCATGAGTTAAAGGCGTGTAGAATATCACCTAAATCAATATTATTGTCACAAACGATAAACGTGTCGTCCATATATCTGACGTATAGGTGAAATTGATTGATCATTGAGCCTAGTTGGTCGTTTTCTAGTTTTGCCATGAAACAATATGCTAAAATCGGACGCAATGGAGACCCCATTGCGATAACGTCTCTAGCCACTGTGTTGCACCATCTCTCGGACCCCAACCAGGGAGTCGTGAGGGACCAACACAAGCCAACCCTTTGCAGCTTTCTTTCATACCCCGACACCATGTCATACACTGGCCACTTGTCCGCTTTTTCCAACCAGTTCCAGAGTCGGCAAATAATGCACGACGTGGAACTCTCTGGGACGACATTTGTAGAACATGTCCAAGCCACCGAAGTTGATGTTTCAAGATGGTGACACCAATTGGATTATCGTCTCTGTGACCGAACACACGATGCCGAACCTCCGCATTACTGACATGGTGTTGCCACTGGATGTCAGCAATCCTTCGGAGACAGCGATGACCGAACACAGAGAGTCGTCTAACGTCCTCAACTCGGAGAGACCAGGTTTCACAAGCATGGAGCAAAACTGCTCTCACCGACGCGTTGTAGATTCGACCTTTTACAGACAGACTAACATCACGAAGGCGCCAAAGGTGGCCCAGATTGACATGAGCCGCTCTGGCTTTCATTATAAATGCGTTGATCTCACCACTAACGCCACCACCAGCACTTATGCAGCTACCCAGATACACGAACTTCTCGAAGGGTTATACTTACTAAGTCCATCACCGAGGGACATGGACCTTTGAAGTACCTTTTAAACAAGCGGTTAAAACAGTTTAGGGAGTTGCCCGACTGATATTCGATTAAGTCTTAGTGTCCCACCGCTTGTCCCTGTTGTAACTTATGTCCCAACTCTTGCTTTTGTCTGTAAGTTTGCCCAAAACATAAATGAGAACAAGTAGTATGAATTGACATCAGATGTTTCTTGTATTGGTTATTAGGGGTTTCCTTTTACACTAAATATTGTTTAGTATAAATCGGAAATACCCCCCAATACACATATATTGTTAGTTTTTGAGTGAGGTAAAAATCATTAGCTACCTGAAAGTTTACGAGGTCGTTTGTATACAAAGTAATTCGTTTGAGACGATAGACGTACCTACGAATAGCCCTCGCTAGGCTTATTTTGTTGACCTAGAAGTGTGATTTGAGTTGATTGGATGACCGTACGCCAATTCTTGGTTATGAAGGTGGTGTACGGAAAGTATGGTAACTATTGGAATTCGAAATCTGTGACAGGAAACTTGTGATATAGCACAAACACAATGATAGTAACATGAATTCTTTTATCTCATATAGTTTTGTTCTGTTATTTTATAAATAAAAGACATCATCATATAAATAAAAAGCTTCACAGTGGAAAGTTACAGTTGGAAAACTAAAACCTGCCTGAATTAGGATCTCATGGGGTCACTAAGCTGTAAGTGCAAATGTTAAATAAGTGGTTCTACATGTTGACATTTCAGTCTGAGTTTACTTGCTGCTATTAACCATTAGTTAACATTCTCAATAATTTGACAAGTCTTGTTAAGTTTATTGACTATACAAAAGTTAAAATAAATATTTTAGGAAGCGGAAACGTCGTTTGGCTGATCGCCTTCTTACAAAGACAGTACGAGAAATCATTCCGGAGTCTGAGTCATATATGGAGCTTTTAGAAGTTGAAAAGAAATTGGATTTTGTTTTGATGCGCAAACGTTTAACACTACAGGAAGCAATGAAAAAGCCTTTCAAGGTAGTTTGTCAATCTTTTGGCAATATCAACATTTATTTATAGGTGAAGCGCAAATTAAGAGTCATGCTCAGCAGCACTTTTAAGCCTGGCTCTACTGTTATGCCTGTTGGATCAGATGCACAAACTACACCTGGTGATTGTGCACCTGGTTGGGAGCTGAAAGTCGAAGGACAGTTGTTAGATAAGGTGAGTAGATATAATCATTATTTTTTCTCATTTTTTCCTGAACATTCATGTCCATTGTAAATTTCGGCAAATAAGTTCTCCAAGTGATATCGTATTACCTCATTGATATTGTATATGTTTGATCGATTCAAACACCAATTATATTTGAAGAGTTAAAATACTAATCTTGTGGTCAACTACGTCTTTATAGGGTCAGATAATACTTAACGATGATAATTTTAAAACCTATTAAGGTAATTTTATACTTGTGTGTATATCTCTACTCAGTGCCAATAAGCATTGAGTGTATTATGGCGGATTAGCGTAGCTTGTGATACACTGTAGTGTCGAGTACTATGTCAATCCGACGTGTGTTATTCTAGCCTCCAGATGGACCAATCTATTCATATTTAGTCACATTTTGACCATGCCAACTACTCACTCATATCCTTGACTGTTTTTATATTAGCGTATGTGTGTATATCCCTTTCATTATTCATCACATGTCTTTAGCTTATTTTTTCTGGCTATAAATACTGAGTCACGCTTTATCAGGTGGATCTGGCGTGTTTGCCTTCTCCTGTCAGCTTCGCTTCAGTTTGCCGCTTCTCACTCTTAATGTCTATCTGAATAAACGAGTGTCGGAAATAGATTCATCCAATCGAACCCATATTTGGCTTCCTATCACCGCCGTCACACAAACGGGATTAGCCTAAGTGTAATATAGAGAGTTAAAGGGAAGACTCACATTCATGGCGTTTTCTGCATCCATCCAGATTGTAGTCAAATCAACGGGGCACTGAAGCATCATGTTTAATTGTCTATGCAAGGTAAAACAAAAGCAGGTAATTAGTAACAGAATTGCCTAGGTTTGTAAATAGTTTATGACTTTTTATTTTTATACGTCTCATGTTTAGAAAACGTGATTGTCATCTAATATCATCCAATATCGGTATACATGACTCCATACATTATTAGTATGTTCCTGGCATAAGATTGGCTGGATTAGTAAAGAAAAGTGTGTTTTTGCATTTTAGCCTGGTCAACCAAGTAATAATGACCCGAAATGTCGTAGAAAATTTTCATCTTTTTTTAAATCACTTGTAATCGAATTGGATCGTGAACTTTATGGTCCTGATAATCATCTAGTTGAGTGGCACAGGACAGCTACAACGGCTGAAACTGATGGATTTCAGGTATATATTGGGTTTTATGTAACGGATTTTGTTTTTGTTCAAATCAAACGTGTATTTTCCTGGCTGATGCTTTTTGTTCTCTATAAAAAGACTAGTGTTTTGTACATATTTATTTTCTACTTACAACCAATGAACGTTGATTAGTTGTACTGTTATTGTAAATGTGGGACACCTTGTTTATTATATAAATCGTTTATCAAGTTAACATGTGAAGTGATTGAACCAACGAAAGTAGTTATTAGTAAGTAACATAATTAGATGACATCATATAAATGTTAAATGGAGTATGACGGTTGAACATATGTGCATTGTGGTAGTAGATTTTGAACCATCCTAACTATAATCTACAATAACATATTTCTAAGTCTCAAGGATCCCAGTCATTCATAGCTCATACCAGCGGTTTTAAATTTATGGATTGGTGCTGTCTTGACGAAGTAGTTTATGGCAGTGAAACGTGGCCGGTAAGAGTAGAAGATATTCGTAGGTACTAGTACTCGATCATAGGTGTCTTCGAAACATTGCTCGTATAACCTGGGACCATCGAGTAAGTAACACAGTTGTTAGGAAACGCGTACTAAGTAAGGATGGCGAATCGATTGATGGAGTGGTGAAACTTCATCAGTTGAGATGACTGGGACACGTGTTACGTATGCCCAATGACCGACTACCTTGACGTGTGATGTTCAGTGGTATAGGAGTAGGTTGGAAGAAAGCTAGGGGCGGCTAGACCAAAACATGGCACAAATCCATGAAGTCACTGACAAGTGGGCTAAGCCATGTTGGTAGATGTAGACTACATGGTTGGGAGCCGCGAGACGATAGCAACCGATGGTTAGAGACCCTGAATGACATGGCTCAAAATCGTTTGCAATGGCGCAGGTGCATACACTCTTTGTGTTCTCCCAAATTTTAATCTCCTGATTCCTCCTTGTCTCTTTTTTCTCTTCCCAAATTTATTTCACTGGATTATACTCTTTAAATAACATCTCCAAACCCTAATCTTCCCGATTACTGCTTATACTCTTACTACCCCTACCACTACGGGATTTGAATCGACAACTGCATCTCTGTGCTAATGTGGTATGGCAACTCGAACTAATGTACGTACGTACGAAGTTCTACGTTGTTACTGACTGACTGAGTAGTTTTTGAGTATGCTAGAAATTTTTTCGAAGTGACTTGATTCTTATGAACTTTTCAGACCATCTACCTTAAACAGCCTTACAGATAGATGTAAGGTGAGAAGTAGATAGCTAGACAACATGCTTGTCTTCTGATATACATTTGAACATTCTCTGGTACTAAAAGCGGTGTACTCAGTCATATATAGAGTCCAGATTTCTGTATCCTTGTCAAGATTTTGTTAACAAGGTATTAACCATAATGTACTTTACTCATTTATCTTGAAAAAAGTGAGTTAAAAAGTTTATGTAATGTTATACTTTCGTATTGCATATATATATATATATATATATATATATATATATATATATATAACTACCGAAACATTTTCTATAAACACAAAGATATGTGGAACTGATATCGTATTCATTGATCAATAAGTTTTTTCCGATTGTACTTTAAAGGTAAAACGTAGAGGCGATAGTAATGTTCGGTGTACAGTATTGTTAATGTTAGACCATCAACCTCCACAATACAAGTTAGACTCACGTTTAGCAAGAATATTGGCCCTGCATACTGGTACGCGTTCACAAATATTCTATGCTTTATGGAACTATATAAAAACGCATAGGTTAGTTTTAATTATTCATTAGTTTACCCTACTTATATATTATCCCAATATACCTCCAATAATGTTTTAGTGTATAACCCTATCCCTCCCCTTGTTCACAGTGTGACCGTGAAATGTACTCTCGAAATTCATGATATGGAAAAGTTGACGGTTTGTGACCTCTTATCTAGTCTAAGCACCTATTTCTCACGCACACACAAGATTTAATACTCTCAGACTATAGATAGATCTGTATGTAAAACTCGTAAATTATCTTATTGTATGGTAGTACGTCAATGATTGTAGTTGAAATAGTTTTTTTTATCTCAAAGCCATTTACACATGAGGTGTGATATCTGTCAAATTAAAGGTAATTTGGAGTAATTCTTAACTCATATATATTCATAAAGGTGTACAGAATTTAGTTGGTGCTTAACGGTTGGTAATTTTGGGTCCTGAACTTCTATATTAGGGAAATATCACAGGTTTTATCAGAAACATAAACTCTCACTTTTGGTCTGTTTTCTTGTTCTAGCATTCTCCCTGTATTAATTATCCATACTTCGGCACTCACCAATCCCATAAAACCATTTTCCCCTTTGAACTTCCTCGTTATAGTTACCAAAATGATTTTGTTGGCAAGAAAATAGTTGTCATTTATTGCGACTGAAATTTTTTGTTAGTGTTTTCATCCGTTTCTGTATGTTTGTCATTTCTCTAGATTACAAGATCCCAATGAAAAGGATTTCATCAATTGCGATTCATACTTAGAACAAGTGTTTGGCTGTCCTCGTATGAGATTCGCTGACATACCTAGTCGTTTGGCTCCTTTACAGCAACCGCCTGATCCTATAGTGATTAATCATATTATCACAGTTGAAGGTGATGGTAGTCCGAAAACAGCATGCTATGATATTGAGGTTGAAGTGGTATGCAACGATGTTTATGTGTTTACAGCATAAATTAACAAGTATTAGTAATTGAGACGAAAATTTGTTAATTCCAACATAGTATTTTAACATTAGATATGTTATAACTGATTTGGTTATACAATAGTGGTATTATTATTGTTATTATTACTAATGTATTTCAATTTCAGCGATACCGTACAAATTGAATAACTTCGCAACCGGGTTTAAACTTTAGCCGTAGATATCCCTAACACCATATCTGTTTTTTTGAGAATTTTTTACTCTGACAAACTGTTTTTTTAGGTATTTACATTTGATAAGAAGTGTTTTCAGTTTGGCTTAATTTACTTCTCAGTGACTTGGTGTATCTGTGTTGCGCCACAATATTGTTGTGTAGTTTTATTTCTACCTTATGGATGTCCACTCACCATTTAATGTCTTGGAAGCTTTGTCGAAAAACTAACTTCTTCTTTTAGAAGAAACGAGGATAAACATGAACAGTTTACATAGGTTATTTTTAGTACCGGTCTTTTGCAGTATGAGTGCACATCAGCATGTAATACTGTTAAAATTTGACATGACATCTCACTAAAATGTAGTCATATTCTTGGATGACTTTGTCGATTATGCATGAACGATTTTCTAGACAATTAAACTGTCTGGAACACTCAAATGTTTAACTTTTTAAAGCTGAACTGGGTTAATACTTCAGCCGCTACTGTCTTTTCATATTGTTTTGCGGAGATTCAAAACTCATGCAAAATAACATTTAGATATATCAGTAAACCTATCAAACAGCCAACCTAAATCGTTCACTTACTCTAGGTAAGTAGGAGAATTTGTTTGAAGCTGGATATTTAGATAGGTACATTTGAAAACAAATAAAATGCAAACGGCATCAGTCCTTGAAGTCACTAACTTCTAATCTGAGCCATGCTGGTAGATGCAGAACCCATTTTAACTTTTTTTTACTACAGAAACTGCTATTTTACAAAGAACATTTTACAGTTTCTCTTTGTGATTAAAAAGCTTCCTAAATCTAACTTTCAATTACTGTTGTTCACAGGACGATGCATACAAAAGTATGGTACATACTTATCTAAGTAATATGCATACAAGTCAAGAGCTATCTGCAATAGATAATAAAGTAAGTTTTCGTTTGTCGTAAACGTTTTGCTCAAATCATTTCAGATTTTTACGAAGTCCACAAAACTCGACACCATTGTTTGAGAGAAAGCACACACTCGAAATATTCGAAAAAGTTTAAGTGTTTCTACTTCACCCTTTAACTTTCTCTGAGAGAGAAACAGTAGGACCCGGTATAAAAATGCATCGGTTCGAGTCAAAGGTTAGAACCATGAATTCGTCGATCACACAAACAGAACATGAGTTCAGGGCGAACTGGATTTTGGTAAGAATCTGAACAATTATACGAAAGTGAGCGTCAGTCCAATTCACATGTGGGGCATTATTGTCCAATCCAAACGTGAAGTATTTAGAAGGTGGTAAACTGTAGGTAACATTCTGACAATGGTTATATCGAAAGTTGATAACGGCAAACTATACGTCGCGATAATGAAAATCCTTCTAATTTCTTGATCTAATATCAAATATTCTCATTGCCCACCTAGACAGGTTTCATTTTTGAGCTATAGTCCTGATGTGTCCATTCAAGTCGACTACACACAAACGATTGTTAAGCGCACCTCGTTGAAGTCATTCGGACTACGAAATAAGTTCTCTCTTCTGTTATTTCTTACACTTACTAAATCCTTAGCCTAGTAGCAAGTTATCGACTGTTAAGACGGATTAGGTGGGTCGGTAATGTTGTACTACATAAAGCAACACTAACACCAGAAGTATTAGATATTTGTAGAACAAGGTCCTTGAATGTGCGTACGTAGCACATTTCCGGCGTTCAAAAACAAAGGATAGGTTTGCAGTAGGTTAGTGTGATATAGGATGCGAGTCTTCCAGATATAGCATACACCTGAAGCAAGGCTTTCTAGAGTCGTAGGTAAACCGGTTTAGGTAGACATGGGAACGTTGCACGTAAAATGTTAGAGTTGTAGTTCCAAATTAGCTGGGTTGAACCTAGCATGTAGTGGGTTTTCAATAGACGCATCTAGTGGTTTTCGACTGTCTACACAAATTAGTATTTCGAACTTACTTTTTTTTGTGTCCACATGAACCGATGAGTTCCTATGTTTTTTCTTGCTTTTTTGTATTTATCTAAGCTAAATGTACAAATAAGCCATTTCTTCAAATAGTTGTCAGATTTGTCTGACAATACACATACTGTGTTTCTCGTGTAGTGGATGCCTGTTATCACATGCTTTCGTGATTTGTTCTAACCTTTTGATGAATAAATTATTCTTTCTGTGTGTCTCATCACTCATATGTTTGCCCTTGTTAATTACTAACGTGTACTCTTGATCATCCCTTATGCGTGTATACGCTAGTACGTATGTGTCTGTATACCTGCTTGAACCTCTTTCATGCATATGAAGACTGAGTTACCCATTACTCTCTGAGCTGGCTATTTCTCACACTTCAGTTCACGCTCATTTCTCGTCCATCTGCATGATCAAATATCTGAAATATACATCCTTCAAATGCTTTCGTATTCAGCTTCTCATATCTACGTTATTAACAGGATATATCGATAAAATACATACGGAGTAAATGGAATATGTCTCCTTAACATCAATATCATTCGATAGTATATAGTCAGACGACGAGCCAAGACTTGAAATAATTTAGTAGTAGCGGTCTTTCAAAATCAGTTTTTATTTATTTCGAATTACTACAGATACACGAATTAGTTGAACAGATCAATCAAATGAAAGTACATCGCGAATTTTACTTGGAATTCAGCCGTGATCCACAGACCTTTATATCGCGCTGGTTAGCTAGTCAGTGTCGTGACTTTTGGGTGATGACCGATGCTACGCCGGGACATCCGGAGGAAGAGCGTCATGCTGAATTCTACAACGCTCACTGGACACAAGAAGCAGTAATGCGCTACTTTTACAACAGGGTAAGCCATTGTTATTCGTTTAGCTTAAGAAACAACAATATGCAATATCCCACAAACTGGTAGAGTTTTAGCGAGGAGAAGATTTACTTCTCCCTAACAGATATTACTCAACACTAATTGGTAAACGTCTTATGACTGCAGCAGCTATGCGTAGACCTCTTACTCTGTCCCTTTCTTTTGTAAAATGTGAAGTGTTCCCCATCGGCACAGTACTTCGTTGGACAAAATGCAACCTGTTCGGTAGTGGAGCTTCAGGGTAGTAGACACATGATCTGACACTAGATGTCTCAAATGCAGTTTTGTCCACTAGTGTTTCCATATCGTAAGCTACAGTGGTATCCACTCGCTGTTGTTTTTCTAGGCTAATTGGTAAAAACACTGTCTGTTTATGCCCACCGTTGGGTTAGTGTAAGGTCTGTACGCGTGAACTTGGTGCTTGTCGTCGTATGGTCGCAGTAACGAGTCATCATTATATGTGCGGTGGCATAGAATACAAAAACCCTCACCATAGTGTTTTCCTGATTAGCTGACCCCATCTTCTAGAGGATAACATATTACGTTTACCAAGCGTATGCATTTCATGATTCATAGTGATCACTACTTACCAACACTAGATTTTTTTCAATTTGAAATAAAGCATCAGTTTGTATGGGTCCTTCTTCTTGAAACAATAAATATGGCGAATATTGAAGCATTTGATATTCCAATTTATTCTCACAATTGGATAATAGGATACGAAATTCCCGTCTGAACTTAGGACAGCAAACTCAAACTTCATGTATCTACAAAAGCCAACTTGGTAGTTCGTTTATGCCTTTCCGATGATGTTTTCATTCCCATACAAAACGAGTATTCGTTGAGATAAGGCTTAACTGCCGCTTTTGTTTCACAGATTTCCCAAAGACGACAGGACTTGGAACACGCACTGGGTCTTAACAACAATTGATGCTAAGGATTAGCTGTATTCCTGTGCATTTTAAACCAATATCAAAAGAAATGTGACCACTAGTTACTGACTTCCAATAAATATTCCGTTATTTGTTGTATATGTTTCTGTACTAATATATTTTAAAGCCTATAATATGTTATACTGTCAAGTGATAAGGACTTATCCTTCTTGGGATAATTTATATATTTCCTGTAATTTAGAAGTCTTCTTTCCTGTGTTGCTTGAGTTACTTATTGACATGGACATACGAAGCAATTGTCTTATGATATAAAATGCCTTTTAAAAGTAGTCACACAGAGCATACAGGTTGGATACAGTGATGAAAATAATCAGTAATAGCCTCAAAATGAAGCTGACAGTACCATCGATATACAACCACGAAATAGTTGTTCATTAAGAAACGCTTCCTAGGTTCATTAATAAATAACAACCTGCAGCCAAAGCGCTCATTTGAATAAACAACCTCTGCCATACCGAACTTTATCCATGAATATTAGTTTCAAAAGAGATACAACAGCATCGATTGCTTAAATTATCCGTAAAACCTTTATTCAGCCAGGTAGTTTGCACTTTTCTACATATTAGACCACCAGCCAATGACTTCACGGACTAATGCCACATTTCGATCAACTGTCCTTAGCTTCCTTCCAAATTTCGCACTTCCAAACTACACATATCGAAGTGTGAGGCGGTTAGGCATACACAATACACGTTTCAGCCATCTCAGTCCACGGAGATTTACAACTTTGCCTAGCACTCTATGCCTAATCTTAACATTGCTCGCTCGGTCATTTCAAGAAGCGTGAGCGATGATTCGAAGACACTTATGATCAGAAACTTTTAGTCTACGAATATCTTTACTGTGACAAACCAAGTTTCACAGCCGTGAAGTAGAACTACCTAACTTTTTTTATCCGTAGTCCAAGTGTTAGAGTAAACCAGTCCTGAAGTAACGCGTCCCAGTGTTGTTGCTCCAGGTGATCGGAAGACTGCGTTTTGTCAGCGTCTTCAATAAATAGGACTACGTCAACCGAACATTTCAGGTTGACGAGACACTGGTTCGAACACGGCTCAACTACATCGACTCGGACAACCAGGTAGTATCGTCAGCCTTGACACTTGGAGTGCGACTTTTACCTAAATATAGAGAGTTAATTTAAGCTTAAGTTAGATTTGATAAGCAAACCTCATGGTCGCAAAACAGTCATTTCAAGAGCTGAGGTAGCCAATGATCCACAGTATATTCGGTCGTAATCCATGTATGGTGCGAGAGAGGGTTGAATATACGATTAACAAATATTCAATATTTCAGCACAGTGTTGCGTATGAAACGTAACTTTTCTGGCGATGGGGACGACAGTCGCTCTGTCCCAGGATGTCGTGATACTTTAATCAACAATCCTGCTGTTGTTTAACGAAAAGTTTGCCTTCTCAAACAAAAGACTTATCGATGGCGCTGGAGATTAGTTTCTCGCCGTGTGAGGCGAACTAGCGATCACGGTGCATTCTGATAGATACCGCTGGAATAAAAGACGAACTGAACCGTTTCTTGAAAACTGTCCTTCAAGACTTCATTAGGAGTTAATGGTCGCTGTCCCATCAACACAAAAAGTCTCACTCATACAAGCTTTCTACCAATGGCTCAGATGCCCTGCGGTAAGTGCCAAATGTAGGTTCAGCCTTCAAATCTGCACCAAGATCCGTCCAGGCTTTTCTTCCTACTTAAGCGTAACATGTTTATTGTAAAACTCGCGGTTAGGTGTAGTAGATCGACGAGTTTCAGGTTGTAAGGAGCCTGCTTACTATCTAATCGTGAATGTGCAGTGTATCACATTGGGAGAATATACACTCGTATTGTCCTGTGTTTATTACGTACATACGCAAAACAAGGTCACCAGCTGCTATGTTTATCAATTTCTTGGAGGTCTATTATCTAGGTTAAACAAATCCACAGTTCTCAATTATTGTGACAAGAAACGTGTACGTTTGATTGCAGTTCGAGCAGACCTGCACGACATAAACTCTAGCTTCAGCGTCTTAATAGACATATCAGTAACAACCTTCTAGTCAGTATTGTGAAATGGACCCAGTTAGTGTTAAGTCGTCTCGTTTATGGTACACAGAAGTTTTAAAGATACACTTATCGTATTTGGGCCAACGTCACTATATCACAAACATAAGAACTCGAGAAAACAGCGAATGACTTTGAGTCGTGTCACCTAGTTTACAGACAACTATTACCGCCCTACCACATTTTCAAATGTAGTTTGGAACAGTAGTTAAAGCAGGTGTGAGTCCGCATCAACTACTTTAGTCCGGCCAATCTGCAAGCAATATCAACCCGTTAAATAAATCTAAACGCTAGCTGCAATTTTGTATTTTTGTTTACATCCAGCCTACCAACCACATGGATGTTGGAGTATCTGAGTACAAGTGCAGTCTCCAGTTTACTATTAAATGACTTTTTAATTAACCCTATTTTTAAGAAATGGCTGTGAAAATGTTTTTAAACAAAAATACTGTCAATTGGACGGTAGTTTTGATGAATCCTTAAAGGTATTAATCAAACTATAATACTTATTTACCTAACGGTTTCGTAATTTAGGTTGTGGTTTAATACTACACTTATTCTCAACTGTATAAACAAGCTTAAAAGAACCAGATGTTGAGTGTATGATCTGATAGCAATGAAGCCAGTTTGTATTAACTGGATTTTATATGTGAGACGAAAATGCTAATATTTAACGGCAACCTAATAATGCAAAACGTAGTTTCCAATAGTCGCTTGCAATCGAATTACATTGTTAAATGGTAACCTAGTGCTTAGGGAGTTTAATTTCCAGCCACTACGTTTCACGTTCGGACCTTGCACTACCAACTTTGGTTTGGGCAACTGAATAGCATCATCAGCCTTCACACTACGAGTGCAGCTTATATCCAAGTACATTGGAAATCGGTTGTTTTATCCAGCGTAAAATAAAACAGATGAACTCATATGTACTGCTTATTTGAAATTTCCAATTGATGTGTAGGACTGCAATTAACAAATCTCTTTTAACATATATGAACCCTGTGTGGATTGCCTCAATATTTTCATTGTCACAGACGTTATAAAGAGATGGATGATAGCTAGCAGTTGGACGGGTTCAGAACACGTATTTCGTCACACTTGGAACGTTTTAGCTAGATGAAATAAGAGACTGAATCTTGGGTGCTCTTAGGTACATCAGAGAAATGCCAAATGGCAGTTAATACTTATGGAACATTTATAAATAAGCTAAATTTTTCATATAATGAAAAAATAACAATTGTTCCTTAGTTACAATTTTGTAACACTTTTCTTCTTTGACGCATCATGTGAGTGTACATTGTCTTCGAACCTTTACAAAAGAGTTGTGAAGTAATGAGAACTTACCTGGAATGTAGGTTATAAGTATAGTAACCAAAGCAAACCAATAATAGAGTGAACAATTTAGAGCGTTTGGAAGATTGAAGGAATATTCTTCTGTTTCCTTCAGTCTTTTTATACCACTTACTATTAGAAGAACCTCACCCTTAATCATTGATTACCCATGAACTTCTATAACTTACAGAAATCCCAGTTGGATACAAAACCATAAAACCTGAGTACCTTTTGAAATAAATGAATCATGAATTTTCCTTACCTTAACCAAGTTAGCAGATTTAACTTGACCCTACATATATCTGCTACATAATATGAATAACGAATCATTTCAGCAATAGACCACGATATAACAATGAGTGGGACACCCAAATTATCACGTGCAACCTAAAGTATTAGGTCACACTAAAATCACTTACTTCTGGGACTATATATAAAATTCCCCACACAACTAGTAACCGGGAAGATACCTGTAACATTGTTGTCATGACGGAAGATCTAACTAATCCTACTGCGGAATGGATTATCTACAGAAGTTAGTAGTTTTTTTCTCGACAATAATACCTCAACGACAGCTAGTGATTGGAACAGGCGTAGAAAAATATCTACTTGAACACTGAACTCAAACCACTTTCTTTTGATGGATGACTCAAATATGTACAAAGATAGTATATAACCCCATCTGTAAACTATTAAAATATTATATCCAAACAAACCCCATTAGCTGAAATCCATTGTATATTCCCAGATAACTTTTCTTGATATTCATCCGTACTTTTGAGGTATCATAAAGAGATTTAAAGAATCCATTAACATCTATCGTCTCAAATATTTGGCAATAACAGTAAATACAAAGTCTACTACTCGAAATATTCACATATCTTTAGAGGTAGGTACATATCTCGAAGCCTAGAAAGTAACGTTTGTTGTCTCCAAACACAATCAAGATTAAGAAACCTTGTCGAAAACTACATACCTATAAACACCACTCCAGTTATAGTGAAAAAGTGATGCAAAATCAACCATTCGATCACCTACTTAAGAAAGATCTAATAGACTCTCACAACACGGGTTCATTAGAACAAGGTCCTGCAATACATGTCCTATAGACTTCTTTAGCGAGTTACCCGCATACGTGACCAAAAGAAACAAGCGATTATACTATATTTCTATATTAAGAAAGCTTATGATAAAGTACCTCATAACCTCCTAATCAACAGACTTCAGTCAGTTGGAATTACAAAGTCTTTTCTCATGAACAGATACCAAATAACCAAGATTAACTCTACAACATCTACACCTCGACCAATAGCCAGTGTATCGTGCAGGGTGTTGTCTTAGGTTCATTGCGTTCTACAATCTACACCAAAATTATATGCATGTGCTTTAACACAAGTAAGGCCTACCTTTACGCTGATGACTTAAAATTCATCCACAAAAATGATATTTGCGATATACGTAGTACTGCACAAGCAACCAACATGGACTTAACAAGGTAGACAACTGGCGCAGACGCTGGAGGTTGAAGCTCAACACAGAGAACTGCGGCTGGCTATGTATTGGAGACACAGCACTTAAAAGGAAACTAACTTTTAATAAAAACACACTGCCAAAACTCACATCAGTAACGGACCTAGGAGTACACTACTCACACAATTTTAACGCCTCTGAACATATTTCAACCAAAACATCTAAAATGCAGAAATTGCTTGGCTTTATTCTTCGTAACTTCTTTCAAAATGAATCTAAAATAATTCTTTGCAGAGCATGTGTGAATACTGTTCGTTCTTATTTTCCATCTTACGCCTATCCGATATATTTAAAGCGGAAGGAATACAACGAGATTTCACCCGCAAAATACTTAAGACCGACTCACTCAATGACTACAGTTCTCGATCCCATATCTTAAGACTAGAACCCTTTTGGAAAAGAAGGCTTGGGTCCAGTTTGATTCTCTATTTCAAACTCCTCAAAAACCTTACTTATTCCACATGTAATATAGTTCTTGCCCAAGACTTACATGAACACGATCTTCGAGAAAAGTATCTACGGTCAAAGCAAAGAAATACAGATCAAAAACTCGGAAAAAATTCTTCCTCATCAAGTATGCATCAATATAGAGCAGTCTTCTCTCTGAAATATACATGGCAGATAAATTACATACGTTTGTAAGAATTCTTGGTGAATCCCTCAGTTGCACTAATCTAACACGATCGAATACATTTACGTCCTACCCAGATATCATAGGCTCTCTACATGAAAAGACCAAATTACACTCTAAGTTCAGTTTTCCTTACCTCCCTTTTTTGCATTTGTCTTAGATACTTTTCCCTTCCTAATTTTTTCACTTGAAGTAGACAAGTAACTCACTGGACCTATTGATGCTGCTCAACTGAATTCGGTTGCTAAAGGACGCATCCTACAACCCTAAAAAGTCAAGAGAACCGCACAATCGACCGCCCACTACCAGTGGTCTTGCATCTATGGAGCCTATTATCCATCAAACGGTTACGATAGCGCAACATATCATCAGCACCAAGTTAATGTGCGTTTCTTCTTGTCCATCCTTTATCAACGTTTTACTCTCCAGTACACTATGTTGACTTAGCATTAATTTTATTTCACCACCTTACATATAACTTATATATTTCCGTACCTTTCCACCTACTTCGGTAAACAACTCTCGTACATCATACATTTCTCAATACTTATACTCTGATGGGCAGCCTATACTTCATACTATAGTCAACTAAAGAACTGCATCGATGCCTCACCTACATTCCATAATTTGTAAATGCCTGATAAACTTGTAAAATGGTACTTACAGGAAGTGTTTTCTAACAGTGTGTGAAACACAGAACATTGTGTGAGGTATAATATTTATCCAATGAAGCTTAAGTCAGACTAACATCACAAGAGGAGGGAGGGTGGAGTTACTGACTATCAGGCATTGATGGTGAGGGTGATATCTTCAACCCACCTATGTTTATGAGGAATAACGTTTTGTTTGTTTCAAGCTCTTTGTGATTGAGGACGAGTCACTCAATCTGTATTATTGAGGTTGTTCTCCAACATTAACCATTCAGACTCATGTTTCCAATTTTATGCCAGATTATCTTTCTTCTAAAGCAACTTATAACATGCCAACTTGGACATTTACACTAAGACTATGGCTGGCATGAGATGAAAAACTATAAGACAATGAAAGGTGTAGTTAATAGTTTTCTTATCACTTAACTCTCTTAATGAGCATTCTATTCTAATAAACAGCCTTCCTTATTCTAACGTTGACTTACTTTTCATTATTACTGTATTCTCTCGTTTGGAGCCTCTGATCAAGTCTCGCTCCAGCAACAGTAGCTGGGAGGAGTTTAATCTACTAATTTATCATACCTCTTTCTGTTCCACAACAAAATGTTAATCATCGCTTATCGTTTATATCCAAGTGTCTTGCTACTACATTAATTGCCGATTTTCAGAATTCTGCAATCGGATCATAGCTATGGAGCTTCTGACGCCTTTAACGAACTTGATGTACGCGTTTTATCAAGGTCATAGTTCACACTAAGCGCTCTACAAATCTGATTTATAACAACTACAAGCCCAAAAAGTTGTGTTGCATAAATACTTAGCACGGCCAGAATCCCAACACAATAATGCCGAGGTGGGATGTGGTGAGTAACGTTGACGCGATTCCACTTTAGAAAATATTTTCAAGACTGTAGTCAGTTAATACCGAAGGAAAAACCTAATCATTAACGATCCAAGTCATCTGCACGAGTGTACTATTATTTACTTTTATTGGTTTTATCTATTTAAGGACCTTACTGTGGAAGCATACTGTAAGAAAACTAATCTTGTAGCATGTAAATCACGCCTGTGGAAATGACGTTTACCTGTCCTGGCAAAAACTTACTCATATTGCCACTTTCCGAGGTTTGATTTTTTTTGCTTTCCTACACTCCTGTACCTACTGCTTTATTTATGTTAATTTATTTTGTTTGGTAACATACATATTATCCAGTGCTATTTTGCAGTACTCTTTCGATATTCTTCCTTTTTAGTCTTTCTTCTGTCAGTTGAGATCTGTTTCATCACTACAGTCCACCACACACTTGACCTTGTTCCTATGGTTTGTTTTTAGGTTCTCAAATGTATTTTTAATCTTGGGGTTGTAACTAATTTAATTTTTACTTACTAATTAAATATCCTTATATTTGTTTGGTTCCGAACAAATAAGGTCTGTCGACCATCTGTTGTTATAAGCTCCTCTGTCCTTGTTTTTAATCGTAACGTTTGTAACACATAACTATGGAGCTCCTACTCAAGCTTAAACCGTGTTCACTGGGGGCATAAATTTGACGGGTGCCATTTTTGAAGTGATTGTAACAACCGTAAACTTATTGTTCAGCACCATCACACAAACCTGTATATTAAATAGTTGGCATGCATATATGGACATTCTTTCATGTTTTCACATATTTTATCTATTTGATAATACTACATTGTAGCATCTCACACGTAAATACGTCTTATGAATTACTGATCATGATGTGAACATGTAGTGTCATAAATTATTGTTATTAACCGTCTATGTTGTCACTTGTGTTGATCGACTTGTTAGTAACTACTGTCAGAACTTACTGTTGCTACTGAAACAGTGTGATCAGTTGACTTCGTTGTGCCATTACATTTGGACGGATCATACACGGTACTCTGCTACATGTATCAGAAATTTCTATTATCCGTTATGATAACACCTCCAAGTGACTTAGTATAATATTATATGATGAGCAGAGATCTGCATTTAGCTCAGCTGTTTTTATATGCATCAGGTTTTAACTTTTTTACTTCTTCCGTCACTGTGTAAAAAGATAACGAATATGACAGTATCCCACGATCACAAAGCATAGTATGCACTGAGTAAGTAACAGACAGATAAGGTCAGTGTAAGCGATATTTTCAAGCAAACATAATATACATATGTACAAAGAAGCGGAAAATATAAAATTATTCAAAGCCGAAAAATGATTCAAGTGGTGCAAAACAGTGTCACAATACAAGATTGGACACTGGCATTCATCATGCTAACACGGCAACAGAAAATCAGATCAGATATAAGGAATCACATACAGTGCCTTTATGTCGGTTTGTTAACAAGTAGATTGTAGCTGACACACTGCTTCATCCACCTAACCTAAGAGTCACGCGTCGCTCAGCTACAAGGCTAGAGTTGGAGCAGCGCTTGTCTGAAATTAGTGTTATGACTTGTATCAATTTTCAAGTGACTAAGTCACCGATCAGAATATCGACTTCTATGACCTCAAACCTGTGCTAAGCCGATGACTTGTAAAACAGCACTAACAGCCTTTCGCAGACTTTAGTCCTTACCGGTCATCACTTCTCGCCTATTCCTTGCCAATTAAGTCCAGGAAACAATATCCACCCCTAATGTATGAATAATATATTTCGTACATAC